AAAATGGGCGTTATATTTCCCTTCTTCCAGTGATCAGGAACTGACTGCCACGATTCATGAATAAGGGCCACACAACATGTTTTCTCCGAGCTAAACAGGACTGTACGCACATTTAACTCATGTGCCTCCAGTTGGTTATGCCTACTACAGACCCAAGAGAAGAATAACTATTGCAATGTAAGTAGTTACACTAACACCAAGAATTGGCAAACTAAACCAGTAGCTTAAGGAAGCAGACTGATCACTAACCATTCTCCGTGATGATAACATCCGTGTGAGAACTTCCATACTTGTGGATATGTTCAACAGCCTCTTGGACACTGTCTACCACCTCAATGCAGCACTCCAGGTCCCCATATTCTGTGCGGAGAGATTTCACTTCTGAAGGGCTGAATGTCAAGTAAGATGCAAACTTTGGGCCAGCATGAATCTTCACCTACAATAACAGAAACATTTTGTGCTGCTGACCATACCATTGCGTTCCAGGTGAAATTGTGGCTTCTGGTACTCTCTGTGGGACAGCAGCCCTATGGTGCTATGTTTTGAACTTGTGACTAAAAGAGTTTTGAAAACAAACCAATATTTTTGGTTGTTGCTGAACAGAGCTTCCACAGCATCAAGGCTTTCTCTTCCTCTCACACCGCCCCCCCACCGCCCCAACTCATAGAAGCATAGAATAGTTTGGGTTGGAAAAGACCTTAAGACCATCTAGCTACAACACCCCTGCCATGAGCAGGGACACCACACACTAAACTATGTCGCCCAAGGCTCTGTCCAGCCTGGCCTTGCACACCTCCAGGGTTGGAGCATTCACCACTCCCTTGGGCAACCCATTCCAGCACCTCAGCACCCTCACTGTGAAGAACTTCTTCCTTATATCTAACCTAAATTTCCCCTGTTTAAGTTTAAACCCATTACCCCTTGTCCTACCACTAGAGTCCCTAACGAAGAGTCCCTCCCCAGCACCCTTGTAGGCCCCCTTCGGATATTGGAAGGCTTCCCCTCCCCGTTCCCCAAGCTAAAAGGTTGGGAGAGTGAAGGGAGTTGGGAAGGGACAGAACCATGATAGCTGACCTGAACTGACTAAAGGGATATTACATACCTCATAAAATCATGCACAGCAATACAAACTGAGGGGAGGGTTTTCTGAAGAAGGTGGTAGGCATTGCTCAGAGACTGGCTGGGATTTGGTCTGCTTGTGGCAGATGGTAATTAGCTTTGCCTCACTTGTATGGGCTTTTGGGGGTTGGTTGTCCATTGCTGCCTCTCCTTCCCTCCCCCTTCCCCTTTCTTCTTCCTCTTTCTTTTGCATATCAAACTATCTATCTTTCAACCCACTAGCACAGCAGCTGAGACACCTAAACAATAAAGGACAATATACAACCAATACAGCAGAGAAATCCCCATGCAAACAAAACACAGGAGACACACATAAATGGGAAATAAGGCACAAGTCTGCAAAATTTGAAGGCTTTCAAGAAGGTATCTGTAGAATGGCATTTTCTTGTGCAACTATAAATTGCTTTACTTGCAAAATCCTGCTCAATCTGAAAGGGGCCTACAAGGATGCTGGAGAGGGACTCTTCATCAGGGACTGGGGCGATAGGTTTCAACTATAACAGGGGAAATTCAGGTTAGATATAAGGAAGTTGTTCTTCACTGTGAGGGTGCTGAGGCGCTGGAATGGGTTGCCCAAAGAAGTGGTAAATGCTCCATCCCTGGTGGTGTTCAAGGCCAGGTTGGACAGAGTCTTGGGTGACATGGTTTAGTGCGCGGTGTCCCTACCCATGGCTGGGGGGTTGGAACTAGATGATCTTAAGGTCCTTTCCAGTCCAAACCAGTCTGTGATTCTGTATTTGCATGTTTCTTGTTGTCAGGTCATATCAGACAGAGGTAACATCCTCTCCACTGTATTAGGAGCTGGATGGGTAGTGGTGGAAATGTACTAGTCCTCACATTCCCCCCCATCCAGAGCCCGGAGATCCACCCTTCTCTCTACCCTTCCCAATAAGCAACCAAATGACATTTTAAAAAAAAAAACAAAACCAAAATCCATGAAGTGAGGACTTGCTCCTGACTACCTATCAGCTTCTTTCACTGTCACCCTTTCAACATCATCAGAACATACGGCCTCCCTAATTTAACTGCATTAATCACTGCCTGTACACTCTATTTGCCAAACATACACTGCTGCGTGAAAATCCTTGATTTATGTGCACTTCACACTACTTCATGGATATTTCTCTCCCAGTGCATCTCTGCTACCTGTACTGACAAAACATGACCCATGTCAAGACATACTAACTAGTATGCTGACCTTTCACTGTTCCTTTGACATACTAGGAGGGTGGGGATAATAGGCAGGCAAGGTGAAAGGTTTAAAAAATGTGGCTGAAGCAGATTCATGAAGGAGAAAACAGAAAGGGAGTTCATTTGGGTAAAAAGCTAAATTAATGAAGAAGAGGCCTTGCATCTGGGAGGTTAACAGCAATTAAAACATAATTAAAAAGGGTAGAGAAAGGGTTGTGTATATGCTCTTCTAAGGCAGAAAAGATGATTTGTGCTATATAAAAGGAAGTATTTGTATCCCAATAACGGCACATAGCTGTCCTGAAGAAGCTGCTTTCAGATCATTTCTACAAAAAGCCTTGAAGTTGTGTGGAGAAGCAGAGAAAGTTCTCTGTCAGTTCACGTACATGTATGAAGAGACATATGGATAACTTAAGTGTTATGCCATCAGAAAACTAAACATGGTTACACCAGCCAGACCAAATGTTTCTAAAGTGCTAGGAAAAAAAGACACAGAACAAACCACAAGTATGAGTGACTAACCTGTTCTACTCTCAACATGTCTATGATTTGATCAAACAACGGGGTTCTCAGCAAGTCTCGATGAATTAAGAGAGTTTCCAGAGCATTACAGGCAGCAGGATATTCACACTTTGAGTCTCTGACTGAGGTTTAAGAGTAGATAATTGGTTACATAGCATTTACAACAAAGATTTTAAACAGCATATGAATTATCAGTTACCATCACCATACTGCATACTCCAAATATCAAGTTCAATTACATCCATGAGATTTAAGTCACCCTCTCCCAGCTTACTTATTCGTGTAACCTTCTCAACGCTGGCATCTGTGTCCACATACACGTGACAGATCCCTTCGCTGTGTCCCATCACCGGGATTCCCTTAGCAGCTTTCTGGATATTTCTGACTAGCTGTGATGAACCACGTGGAATGATTAGATCTATCAGCTTATCCAAACGACAGAGATCTTCTACTTCCTCTCTTGTGTTCACCTGTGGTCGTTGCAATACAATAATCTACAGTTTGAACACTCAAGTTTTGCCCATACCTTTTATACATACCACAGCAAAGAAATCATTGATTTAATTCTAGGCACTTACTAGTTGCACTGCATCTTTGACTCCGTGAATGGAGAGTGCTTCTTGTGTCAGATGATGAAGGATCTGATTGCTATGTGCTGCCTCCTTCCCTCCTTTTAATAGTAAGCCATTTCCACTGGCTATGGCCAAAGCAGACACCTGTCAGAAAAGAATTTTTTCAATGGGGGTGGAGTAGGGAGTAATATGTCTCTTCTATCAGAATAAAACCCACAAAATAAGAACAGGATTTTTAACCCTGTTGATTTACTCAATGTTAATTTACAGTTTTCATTCTATGGCACAAGAAAAATCATTGCAAATAACAGCACATTTAACTCCAGAAATTAAATGAGTTAAGTGTTTCAGGAACAAGCCTGAGTTTTCAGGGTACTATTGCCAGGGGGAGACTTCAGTGGACAAGCCACAGGAAACCCTGGACATAGGCTCTGGTATGAATTAGGTAGCTATGTGGGCAGTCACCCCAAGGAGAATAATTTTAGGTGCAAGAACTTTTGTCCCCAGTCATTCTGGCAGAAAATGGCTAACGAGCTCTTCTATAAGCAGGAATCATAGAATAGTTTGGGTTGGAAAGGACCTCAAGATCATCTAGTTCCAACCCCCTGCCATGAGCAGGGACACCACACACTAAACTATGTCACCCAAGGCTCTGTCCAGCCTGGCCTTGAACACCTCCAGGGCTGGAGCATTCACAACTTCCTTGGGCAACCTATTCCAGTGCCTCACCACCCTCATTGTGAAGAACTTCTTCCTTATATCTAACCTAAACTTCCCCTGTTTAAGGAAGAACATTTTTATTGTGCTGTCTGAACTGAAGTCACAATCAGACAACACCTGCTGTAAGTATGAGGAAAAACCGTTGTAGACAATAGGCCCAGCATCACCTATATCATTTTGATTTCATGTTTATAATCAGAAGCAGCCAACTGATGCTGTTGCCTTTCTGTTTAAGGTGCCAGATTTCACCCGTTTGAGACCAGCAACACAAGTAGACCGTGTTTCAAAAAGAGCTTCAAAAAAGCCACTGCTTTTTGGAAGTTAGATAAAAAATTACTTCTGCTGTTGAAAGTATCTACCCAATTTGTTAAATCTCCAGACACTAGTTGTTATTGGTGTTTTCCCCACTAAACTGAAAACCTCTTTAACAGAGAGGTGGTAGGTTTTACTGTTTCAGTTTTTTGGTCTTTTCTACAAAAGAGTATGTCAGACATGACATGGCTCTCTTCCCAGACTTACTTCATTTTTGTATTCCTTTTTGTCTTTCTCACCCTGATCCGATTCACAATGGCCTCACAATCTGTCCACCTCATCGGGAGAAGGGGGGATGGGGTGGGAAGCAAAAAAAAAAAACCAAAACAACAACAAAAAAAGATTACACTCCTTCAAAAAAAAAAAAAAAATCATCTCCTCTCCAGAACCTCTGCGTGTGGCCGTCCAGCCAGTTGTGTATCCACCGAGTGGTCCATCTATCAAATCGATGTCTCTCCAGTTTAGAGACAAGGATGTCGTGCGGGAAGAATCTATGCAAGAATCCTCTGAGACAATACTTCTCACAGCCTCACAGCTGCCCACCAACAGAAACATCCTTTCTTTGTCATCAAAGAATTCCCAACAGTGTCAATCTGCCTTCCTTACCTGTGGAAGACAGTCAGGTCGGGACTCAAAGATCACGAGAAGGACGCCAATAGGCACTGTCACCTGCTCCAAATCCAGGTCTTTTGCTATCCGTGTTCGGCGAATCACACGGCCGACGCTGTCCTGTGAGGACGCTGCGATCTGACGTAGACCAATAGCCAAGCTGTTCAGCTTCGATGTAGACAGACTCAGACGTTTCAACAGCGGAAGGGCCAATCTTCCTAAAAACAAGGAATAATTGTGCTGGAGACAAGGTGCCCCTTGCTACAAAAGAGACATTGAGGGGCTGGAGCAGGGCCAGAGAAGGGCAGCAGAGCTGGTGCAGGGCCTGGAGCACAAGTGTCATAAGGAACGGCTGAGGGACGACCGAGGGACCTGGTTTAGTCTGGAGAAGAAAAGGCTCAGGGGAGACCTTATCGCTCTCTACAACCACCTGACAGGAGGTTGTGGTGAGGTGGCGTTGGTCTCATAAGTAACAAGCAAAAGGACAAGAGGAAATGGCCTCAAGTTATTCCAGGAGAGGTTTAGACCGGATATTAGGAAATCTGTTGTCACCAAAAGGGTTGTCGTGCATTGCAGCAGGCTGTCCAGGGCAGTGGTTGAGCCACCATCCCTGGAGGGATTTAAAAGACATATAGATGTGGCACATAGTTTAGTGGTGGACCATGGCAGTGGTAGATTTACAGTTGGACTTAATGATCTCAAAGGTCTTTTCCAACCTAAATGATTCTATGATTGTATAGATTGGTCTGCCTTGGCTCAAGCAAAAGTGACTTAAACAGGTGGTGAACCTAAGGAAAATTCAGTTATTTCCTACACCCTAGCAAGAAACCTACCGAGATGAAAAATGCACAACATTAAGTCCAGCCACCACAATAAAACCACTCAAATGTGACAATGATTTCACCCACCACCACATTTTCACTTAATGCGGTTTAAGTGATATGTACATGAAGCAATGTCAACATTCACAAAGATAAGGTTCTTTCTATGTCTAGTACTGCTGTATGTCTGAGTTTCTTACAAATTTATATCCTTGCAGTAGTTCTGGAATGTTTGGGCAGGAATTTCATCTTTCTATACCACAGCTAGAAATCCCAAAGCACAGATGCATGCATAGCATGTCTGTTCAGACTGCCCAACAGCCTGAATTTTCCAGTCTGGACACGTTCAGACAGAGTTGTAACCTGGCTATGTCCCCTCAAGTGCTCTGGGCAGTAAAAAAAAAAAATGGTTCCCTGGCTTCTTCCACAAAGTATTGCAATTCATGATATGTCATTTTCATACATTTGCTGTCCCAAACCCAATTTCTGACTGAATGTATCAGTCTAACACAGAAGAATGGGCTTAATCCAAGCTACCTAAAGGGAACCTTCCTCAGTCAGAAGGGGACATGATTCTTTTTGGATACCAGCCATTTAAGTATAGAGACAATAGCTTTCTCTTCAGGAGCCAAAAATTATTTTAAGCAGCCCAGAAAATACTCACTTTATGCACGAGAGTATCAGAGCTGACACTTGTCATATTCAATTTCTAAGTAAGCCTCCTTTGGCAGAATGGAGCACTGATTTTATTTTTTTACAATACACTGCTTTATGTTTTGCATAACAAATGATGAAGGCATCTGTTTTATGTAATTAAGGAAGCTGCAGCTGTTTACACTGACAAGGTTTCAAGGTCCTGGGTTCACTAATCTGTGACAGCCATGCTACTCAATCCCATGAGATGGAAGATGCTAGTTCTGCTCATTTCCTTTGAGGCCTCAAGAGGCTTGAGAGAATAGGATTGTCATGGAAGGACTTGGAATATTACCTTTATTTTCAGCCTCTTCTAAGTCCTTCTTGTTTGCCAAAAGAATTTCTTCTCTGCGGTCAGTTAGCAAGTCAGCAAGACGATAAATAATTTCCGCTCTCTGAAACAGAAAACAGTTTCTGAACTGACTTCTTATACAAAATCCATGCTAATTAACATCTGGTCACCTTCAGTCCATTTATGCTGACCACAACCTCTCAGTGTCTTGACTCTCCGAATACTTGGGGCCAGCTGAGTTTTCCAACCTGCATCACATTGAAAAAACAAGGCTGAACGCTGCTTCAGCCTTTGCTTTGCTTTTTATTACCTTGATTCTCATGCCCAGTCTTCTTCCCCAAAACCAGAATGTTCTTTCTTTAAGACCACCTTGTCTTCTTCACAACAGATGCCACATTTTATCTACCCAGCTACAGAGAAGTAATTGATTGTCTGCAACATCTCTTTTGCATACACTACCCACAGGATTGAATGAAGCAAGTTATTCCAGTCAATTCTTCAGCAGGTCTGATCACAATTAATTTCTGTGTGATATTCAACACTATTAACATTTTTAAAAAACCCACATGAAAGCATATATTACTTCATAGTCCCAAGGTACATTATGTTTTTCTCATCTCTTTAAGCACAGTCCAATCCAAACGATGGATCTGGCACACAAAGAATTGATTCTTGTCCCAAGTGGTCCATTCGTGTTATAAATCCATATTGTAAAACTTGCCACATTCACAGCTTTAACAAGTGAGGCCAAATTGTTCTGTCACCTGCTCAGGCTGTAGAGCTGCCAGGGTCCTGCCACCAGCTCGAGCCATTTCACCCTGCTGCTCTACCGTAGGACCTGCAAAAAACCCCAAAAATACGATATGCAGACAAAGTAACAGCACATGTGGAAGTAAACACCAGCCCTTCCATCTTCCACTGGCTTTATTTGCAGGAAAGCAGGTACAGAGTCTGAAATGGACATATTCAAGAAAACTGCTGTATGCTAGAACAGGAAAATCTGCACCTGATACAATACTGCCATGGTCCCAAAGGCAGAGAAAGTCATGACAGAGATTCTGTAAGGTCACTACATCAGAGGCAAGGGTGCACGTTGCATCAAAAAGACTTGACAAAAGGGAAAAGAACCAGGACATCTAAGTCTCAGGCTACTGAAAGAAGAGGCAAACTTAAGCTTTGGGAAGTTTAAGTATCCAAATGAGGAAACCAGAAAGGATTATAAAATAGCATGTGAATGTATAAACAATAATGGAAGCCAAAACCCAATCTGAGTTAACAGCTCACAGAAAATTTGCTTTCCCCCCCTCTCCCTGGATACATTTCAGAAGGGCTCCTGCAGAAGAAGGGTGGGGTTTGCCCTTTTTTTCCCCTTTTTCCTCCGTGGCAGGACCTCAATCAATCTCAAACTGAAAAGATACGGAACAGGTCACTTGTTTCTATTTCTGAACAAGTCACCAGCTTCAGGCAGCATTTGCCCGAAGAGTTTGCAAGCAGCTCATGGATAAACCGAAGTGTGAATTTTAACTCTCTGTTGTGGGGTTCTGGAGAATGCACATCC